CTTGGCACGGTTGGGCAGCTGCTGCTTGTACGCCTCCCCATCACTCCGGCTGCAACCACAGGGCTAGTGAGGAGGGCAGGAGGTGCCCGGCTCTCTGCCCAGCAAGTCAACAAGCCAGCGGCAACCACAGAGAAAGCGGAGCAGGAGACCCCGGTGACGAAGGTGCTGCAAGGTAGATGCACTGAGGGAGAGGACCCTCCAAGGGTGGCTTAGAACCCTGGAGCTGGCGGCATTGATGTCACTGCTTTGGTTTCTATGTCTTATAGGGTGATATCAACAGTGCCATTCCGCTCCCACAAATGACCACCTTGGTAGCACGAAGGTTCAAACTATTCTTCCCGTTGGAAGGCCAGATCTGCATCGGCTTGCGCTTTGGCCCCCCTCATGCCGAGCATTTGCCAGGCACCCATCGGGAAGCAAGTTAAAGCAGAATTCTGCTTCTGCACACGTGACCTGCAGGATTTGCATATTTCGCATAGTTTATGCAAAGGTTTCTGTACTTTAAATATTGTGGGCAAAGAACTGCAGTCTTTGCGTGTTGGTGTGCAATGAATTGCAGCTGGAATTCCCAAGCATCTGCACACGCGATCCCAGCTTGGTTTGCTTCATGGCCAGGTGCTGCTGTAAGCCGGGGGTCCTGCTGGGGCAGAAAAGGGCATCTCTCCCCTGGGTGATCCATGCCTCTTTCTCCGTACTTCTCCCAGTGTGGAGAATAACAAAGAGGGCAGGTGGGATGCCAGCAGTCAAGAAGAGAAATCTTAGTGGCAGAAAGAAACCCACGGAGCAAGCGAGATGTTGCGAAGGAGCTCAGTTGCAAAGAGGCAAAGGGGTGAAAGGGGGTCCAAAATGCAGTGGTTCAAATGATCCAGAGCTAGGAGTGCATCATTTGCCAGACACGGAGGAAATATTTGCACCTGCTAAAAGAGGGGGGAGGAGGAAGACAACAAAGACTGTTAATTTATATTATAATAATTGAAGTTATTTATGTTTGTGAGCTGCCCCGAGGCTTTGGCGAATGGGGCAGCATAGAAATTTTCTAAAGAAAGAAAGAAAGAGGAGGACGAGGAGAAATGACGGTGCGCCCACAACTAGAGTATTGTGCTCAGTTTTGGGCTCCACATTACAGGAAGGATATGGCCAGGTTGGAGTCAGTGCAGCGCAGGGCCACAAGGTTGGTGGCCGGTTTGCAGGGGATGCCGTATGAGGCGAGACTGAGGAAACTGGGTCTCTTCAGCCTGGAGGAGAGGAGACTCAGAGGGGATCTGTTGGCGACATACAGGTATGTGAGGGGGTGTCACACGGAGGTGGGTAGAGACCTTTTCTCCTCTTCAGAGAAAGGCAGGATGCACTCCAACGGAGTAAAGCTCAGGGAACCAGGGTTCAGTTTGGATGCCAGGGAGCACTTCCTGACAGTTAGGACCACGAGGGTGTGGAATGGGCTTCCACGAGAGGTCGTTGAGGCCCCATTGGTGAGGGTGTTCAAGGATAGGCCGGACGTGCACATGGTGGGCATGTCGTGAGAGGAGCCGGCTGGTGCCGGAGGTCAGACTAGATGGCCCGGGAGACTCCTTCTCACTCACTCTGTTTCTATGTTTCTATGATATGTGGCATTGCCATGATTTCTGGTCCACAAGAGCCTGGTTTCCGGTCTCACCCCAGAAAAATGGTTTGGCCTGGCTTTGGCCCAGCAGCTAACCAAGAAAAGTAGGACCCAGTTTGCTCTTTCTGTGTCCGCAGAGAAACTGATGCTATTTTGGGCTTTTTTCTTTTTTCTCCCCACACAAAAATAATGACAGGTTAAAAAGTGGGGGGAACTGGAAATGAAGGAGGCTAAACCAGCCTTTTGAGGAGACAAAGGCTGGGCTGGGTCGGGCTGGGCTGGAGATGAATCAGACCTTCATTGCAGAAGGAAGTCTTTCTTCTAGCCGCACCATTAAGAACTGTATATAATGGGAGATGGCTTCACGGCGTACACCAACCTGCTCCTCTGAAGGCTGCGCACTGTCGTTTGACTGACCTGGGTGAGTTGAAATCTCACTGGCGCATAGATGTCAGCGGGGCAAGCAAGGCATTTTCACAGAATCATAGAGTTAGATGTCAGCGGGGCAAGCAAGGCATTTTCACAGAATCATAGAGTTGGATGTCAGCGGGGCAAGCAAGGCATTTTCACAGAATCATAGAGTGGGATGGGGCCAGAGCACCATTGGGTCCAAACCACTGCTCAGTGCGGGATTCCAAGTTCAACCATCTCAGATTTTGAAGAAGCTCTGCCTCAAAACAGGCAGGAAGGGGGCCAAAAGCAGGCACATCAGATGGTCCCAGGCTTGGCGCAACTTGTCCACCAGACCAGGTGGAAACACTTGGGCCTGCTAAGTTTAGAAGGAAATGGCAGCCAGTGCACAGTTACTTGGAAGTAACTCCCACCCAATTCAATGGGACTTACTCCCAGGTACATGTCCATAGGGATACCATCTGTGGGTTGAGTTAGGATAGAGCCCAATTTGGGGTAGACCCACTGAAAACAAGGCTAACTGAAGGCCCTCTAGTTCAACTGGCAGGATTAAGCTAAATCCTTTCAGCTAAGTTAGGACTAAGTAAGACTGGATATACCCCATGCAGTTGTGGGACACAGCAAAGCAGCACACTCCAAACAGCTTGGATGATAGCTCCCATTACCCTGAGCCAGCGTGGCCATTGGAGCAATGGGTTTTGTAGTCCAACCTGCATAGGAGGGCACTGAGTCAAGAGAAGCGCATGTTAGAGGTTTGTATGAACTTATTATATGTACAGAGCAAGAAAAACGTATTTATTTTTTTATTTTTTTATTTAGGAAATTTATAGGCCTTCCATCACTGTCGTTTCTGGACGGCTTACAGAATATTCTAAATCCTAAACAAAATAAATTAGCTATTCCACGTACTGAGCATAACACTGAGATATTTAAAATAAATTAAATAAATCATACACAATTAAAATTAGTTAACGTTAAAATACTGATCAAATAAAAAGGTCTTAGAATTAGTTAACATTAAAATATTGATCAAATAAAAAGGTCTTAAAATTGGTCTGCTGCTGCAGTTTACTGAGACAGAACTGGGCTGATAACCACTGGTTTTAGGAGGGGGTCTGGTCTGGTCTGGTCTGACTTTGTCTTGCTTCGTTCCGTTTCGTTACAGAGTGAGACAAGTTGACAGAAAGCTGGTCGAGCAATGTAATTAATAGTAATAGTAAGGGTAATAAGGGTTCACTAAAGTCTACTGGTCACAAATCTTCCATCACATTTTACAGAAGCGGTGGGCTTGGAAGGAACGCCTCGGCCTCCTGATTTTTCATCTCTCCAAAAAGGTAACTGGGAAGGGAGGCTGCCAAGCTGCATGACAAGCAAAGCGTTGGCCTCTCATTCCATCTTTCACTGGGTTCCCTGGAGAGGTTCGTTGCTTTGGAGTTCCACCTCACCCATCTCTGCCTCGTATTTCAGCTCCTGGGCAAAGTTACTTTTCATTTTGTCTCCCCATTTTGCCTCCTGGGAAACGAGTATTTTGTGACCAGCCAAAATAGAAGCTATTTGATGAGTGGGCAAAGCCCCAGGGCAGCCATTTTGTGAGAGCACCCACAATTTTCTCACAACATTCCAAATTTCTCAATGCCTTGCAAAATGTTGGGACCCCAGGCAGTAGGTCTACAATCCATGCTCTGCACTTCTTTAATAGAGACATGGTTATTTTTTTTCAGAAAAATTGCTGTTCATCAATTTATCAATATCCTCAAAGACTCTTCTGGCCAAGCAGTAAGGAAGTCCCCAACTTCCTATGATATGAGAGCTGCCAAGTTTTGAACCTGGCTGGACTCAGCCACCAAAATAGACGGCAAACAGTGCTAAGAAGAGTCAAGCTTTGATGTTTGTTGTAATTTGCATTGTTCTGATATAATTCTGAGCTGTAGAAGTAGATTTCTGTATGATCACTTACTTAGTTCTAATTTGACCTCCTTCCTATGGAAAGCCGCTCCACCTTCCACTCTTGACTCCCCAGCAATGAATGGTATTTAATGGCATGTGATGGCTCATACATAGCAAGCCCTCTTTTTAACAGCTCTAGTCTTTTTATTGAAAATTGGCTTTTTAGCGCGTTTAAATCAGGTTTAAGTTTTGTGTTCAGGCATCTCTTGTGATATTTGTGGTTTGCAATTGTATGAATGGGTGTAAACTTCCCAGAGAGCTTTGGTTACTGGGCAGTATAGAAATCAAATAACTAAATAGAGAAATTCAGAAAGCTAAGCTGGACCATAAGGAAGGCTGAGTGCCAAAGAATTGAGGCCTTTGAATTGTGGTGCTGGAGGAGACTCCTGCGAGTCCCTTGGACTTCAAGGAGATCAAACCATCCAGTCCTAGAAGAGATCAACCCTGACTGCTCTTTGGAAGGCCAGATACTGAAGATGAAACTCAAATACTTTGGCCACCTAATGAGAAGGAAGGACTCACGGGAGAAGACCCTGATGCTGGGAACAATTGATGGCAAAAGAAGAAGGGGGCAGAAGGGAATGAGGTGGCTGGATGGGGTCACTGGAGAGGTGGGTGTGGGCTTGAGTGGACTTCAAGGGATGGTGGAGGACAGGAAAGCCTGGAGGAAGGTTGTCCATGGGGTCATGATGGGTCGGACACAACTTCACAACTAACAACAACAAACCTTAAGAGAGGCATCGCAAGATTTTAGGATGGAGGAAGAAAGCGATCAAGAGCAGGGACACCAAAAAATTGTGGGCAACAGGGAGAAGATGCAGGGCTGAAGAGAAGGGGTAGGGTCAGGGAAGGGGCAGGGCTCAGAAAGGGGCATGGCCTTCTGGGAAACACAGGATGTTGGATGGGTGCCCAGACTGGGTGCATTTGGCCCAAAGCCCCAAGATCCAACATCCCTAGCTTCTATGGTACGGCTGTGGAAAATGTTGTCGTTGCATTATCCTCCGTCCTTTCTTGTACCAGTTCTTTTGCAAGAGTCCACAAGATGCCTCAACTTCTGGACAGCATCTGCACCATCATTGGCACCTTCTACAAATACGCCAAGTGGCACGAGGACTGCTCCACCCTGAACCGGAAGGAGATGAAAAAGCTGATCCAGAAGGAGTTTGCGATCGTCCTGGAGGTGAGTGTGAATCCCCACCGAGAAGGAGTTGGGCAGATGGGAAGCTGCATCATTTGGATCGGGGGCAAGAAAATGTGGGTCACAAGCTAATACCCCCAAAACTCATCTCTGAAACATGAACTCCAGCATTGGTTTGAACTCTACACCAAAGTTTTGTACAGATTCTAAGATGATCTTTGCCACAAAGCAGAAGTTTCAAAGTGCTCTCTGTCCAATTTGACCGCTCAACACCCAAGTCCAATAATACACAATAATACAAATACACAATTATACAAATAATAATACATTGGGATACTTCTCTCTGTCACCCACATCCACTTCGTCTGTACGATTCTAGAGCTCACTTATCAATTGATGGTTCTTTTTCCAACTACTCTTTAATGCAAAATTCAGCAAAATGAAATAGAATCCGTTCCTAAATCTAAAGAATACTATATAAATTCCCTATATCTGCATGAATTTAAATACACCAATTATATATATATTGTATATATAATTGCATTGTAAGCCACCCAGGAAGGCCTCAGCAGTTATAGGCAGTCTATAAATAGGTGCATAAATAAATAAATAAATAGAATCTTCAGAAAAAGAGGACCCAATATCCATATATTTCTCTATTCAAGAGTAGCATCTGTATGTCATCCAATCAAATATTGAGAGCATCTTCAGATTCTCCATCTTCAGGCATTATAGGAGCTGTTCTCTTTCCAATATTGTAGTATCAATCATTTAGCTGTCAAAAGGGCACAGAAAATCCATTTTGTGATAGATAAATCTATGAACTTCCCTGTCCCACATTTGTTTAGATTTTACTTTGTTCTTTAATCTCAAGCTCCTTCCCTTCTGCTTACAAATAAATAAATTTCAAAATTGTGGTAAGTCCTTCCCTGATGAGATAGAAACAGAGATCTGATCCCTGGCCACTAAAATAAAATAGTTGATTTTAGCAGTAACATAGAAACATAGAAACAGAGTGAGTCAGAAGGGGTCTCCTGGGCCATCTAGTCTGACCCCTGGCTCCAGCCGGCTCCGCTCACGACATGCCCACCATGTGCATGTCCAGCCTATCCTTGAAATAAGATGAAATTCTCACCCATCTGGAAAGCAGACTGTCAGAAAAAAGGGGAAGCAATCCTAGCCATGGATTAGAAGACATGCTTCTGGTGGTTCCACGTAGTCTTAAGGCCAGGCGAAAAGCCCCAGTGTTGTGTGTCCCATTTCCTGGTATCCCAAGCCTTAAAAGGACAGGAAAGCACCAACCTTGTGCTCTTTCTGGCAACTTCTGGAAGCATCTTTATTTCAAGAAGTCTTCCTTGATTGGCCAGCCATGCATTTTATTGATAATCCTTTTTCAAAAGGAATTTCTTTATGACTTTTATTATTGTGATCTTTTGCTGTTCACCACTCTGATACGTGTTTATATGAGAAGCAGTACATGAATGCTAGCAATAAATATGTTAGGGAATGTTGGGGACTGAAAAGAGCAGTTTGGGAATCTCAGGGGCCGCTATTGTGAGGTTGCAACTCATGTCCCCAATTAACTCACACAGCAGTCAGCTGTAAAATTAATGTCTTTTATTGCTACTTTCTACAAGATTTATGAAACAACAGATAAGCTCTAATGAGAAGGTCTTAATAGGTCAGTTGCTCCCCCCTTTGTGAAGTCTCTGGGGAGCCCACGTGGGATTCGCTTTTCCTGTCATGTCTTTCCGCTCGTGGGCAGGACAAACCTCTGTCCTGTCTTCTCATTTGTTCCAACCATCTTAAACTTCCTCTAAGATTGGCGTCGGCTAAAGATGTTACATCTTCTGGATCTCCTGGACTCTGTCCAGCAGTTTCAGAGTCAGGAGGCCGGGGGCATCATGCGCACGCTCTTCAGAGTCAGGATGAGGAGAAACCTCCTATTCAGGAGTCTCATAATCAGGCCACGACGAGGCCATTTGTTCAGGAGGCAAAGGGTCAGGGTGTGGGGGGGCTATTTGCTCAGCAGTCCCAGAGTCGGGCTGCGGAGGGGCCGTTTGGCTACTGGGCCCCAAGTATCAGTCCTCTTGTTCTAATGTCTGATTCTCATTTTGAACATTTGTCTCTTTCTCACGAGTTGACATCTCTGTCGAGCCATCAGGCACGACAGCATCTGACCCTCTTTCTCCATGATTTCCCCATCTTTCAGAACCAGCTGGATACAAAGACAGCAGAGCTGATATTCCAGATGCTGGACATCAATGGGGATGGCATGCTAGACTTCAACGAGTACCTGCTGCTCCTCTTCAATTCAGCCAAGGCCTGCTACAGACACCTACAGTCCAGAGAATGTCTCCTTCGAGAAGAAGATGGCAGAGGACCCTCACAGGAAGAAGGACACAGAGATCCAAGGGAACGTTGCCAGCTAGACGATGATGAAAGGGAAGGAAACTATTTCCGTGGGAGACCAGATTCTGGCAGGACACGCCTTCGTCCGATTGAAGGGATCGCGCAAGGGGAGAGGCGTGATTGCCTCCCACCATCACGTGAGAGGAGCTCCCAAGCACATGATTCTGAGCGGAGAGACGATCGTGGGAGAGACCATTCCTTCCGTGATGCTGAGGATGAATACGAAGGCCGACCACGAAGGTCTGGGACCTGGGCAGATGCGGAGCCTCATCCACAGACACGCAGGTGGGAGCCTGAGAGAGACCAGGCAGGCCGACACCAGCTGAGACGAAGGGAGGCAGCCAGGGAAGAGGATCGGCAGCGTCAGTCACAAGAGCTTGTGCCAAGGAGCACTGGCGGAAGACGTCATCCGGCCTATGGATCTCCACCAGGGGAGGGTGAGGAAAGAGAACGCTATGCCCCAGAGGGCCCAGAAAGACAAGAAGATAGGCGGCACAGCTGGGCACCGGGAACGGAGCACTGGTTGGATGAGGAGAACCTGACCAGGAAGCGTCCATCTGAACCCCGAGTGGATGAAGAGAGTCGCCGCCGCCATCCACGTGCACCAGAGGAAACCCGATATGACGGTGGACGATGCCACCCATCCAGTGGGTCTCAGGAACGGGAGGACAGAAGGAGGAGGGATTCCTCGGATGAGCAGGAAATGCAAGATAAGCTGAGTTCCCGTGATCCTGAACGACGGCAGGATCGCACACACAACCACAAACCAGTTGATGGAGCTGATGAGTGTTTCCCATTGCCTAGAGTAGGTGAGAGAAGAAGGTCGCGCACCCCTGAGCCCGAACGCAGAGATTGGTCCTGGCCAAGTGAGCCTGATCGTCCAAATGGTGAGTGGACAGGACAGCGGCGAGGCAGGACTCAGTACAGAGGGGCTGAGCATGGGCCTGACCAGCCCTCTGGGCCTGAAGTAAGAGAAGCAGAAAGGAGGCTGCCCCACGGTGATCTCACCAGATGTCCCCGCCCATGGGAGCCAAGAACAGAGGTGGGAGCAGAGGCGGAGGACTGGCAACAGTCACGAGATCCAGAAGGCGGGGAACAAGACAGGAGCCGTCCCCGTCCCCGTCCGTATGAACCTGCGTCCACAGACAGTGGGAGGGGATGGAGTCAGTCCTATGAACCTGAGTCCAGAGAAGGACTTAGCAGAAGACCCAGGCGACTTGATGAAGATGACACGAGAAGGCAGCGTTTCCATCAGGAGGAGGAGGTTGACAGGAGGAGACCCAGGTTCCCTGAGCCTGAACCCTGTGACTACAGGAGGCCTGAAAGACCAGAATGGGAGGACAGTCAGGGGAGACATCAATATGATGGTGCTGAGCCCCAGGAAAGAGAGAGCTACAGGAGAAGGCCCCAGTTACGTGACCGTGACTCCAGGGAAGGTGAGAGGAGAAGAGCTCCACGGACCGGCTCAAGAGAAGATCAGGGGGAGAGGCCTCAACCAAGCTATACCCAAACAAGGCCCACAGAACAGGATCAGTTTTCTCCCTCTGAGAGAAGTCCAAGAGATTGTTTTCAGCACAGGCCACAGACATACAATTACCAATCCAGTGAGCAAGGAGAACGTGAGTGGAGACCAAACCAGTCCTATGACACAGAGGCACTCGATTACGGTCCAAGTCAAATGCGAGCACACGACACAGACCCAAGAGATGGCGAACATGAAAGGCAAACCCTGTCACATTATGCTGGTCCAAGGGACCAGAGAAGAACCTGGCCATATGAGAGGGACCCAATAGGTTACGATCAGCAGAGAAGACACCCATCATATAACACTGATGCCACAAATACTGACCGGAGGGGAGCCCATACACGAGATGGTGAACAAAGGGATGGTGAACCACAGAGAAGAACCCCACCATATAACACTGATGCTCCCAGTGTTGACCGGAGGCAAACTCAAGCATGTGAGATTGGCCCAAGAGACTGGGAACAGCAGAAACAAACCCAGGGGTATGATACCCGACAAAGAGGCTCTGAGCCAAGACAAACCATAACCCATGAGGTTGACTCAAGAGACACTGAGAGGCAAAGAACCCTGTCACATGGGCCTGATGCTAGAAATGTTGACCTAAGGAGAACCCAGAAGAAAGCTGTGGACCCCAGAGATTGTGGACCACATGATACCGATGCTGGAGGAGCTGACCAGAGGCGAACTCAGAGAGGTGATCCAAGAACTAATGCAGAACAGAGGCAAAGGGAGGGTGACCAGCAGCAAACTCAGAGCCGTGACACAGACCCAAGTCATGAGGATCAGCAGTGCAGAACCTCATCGTATGATGGTGATCTGAAGGGTGTTGAGCAGAGGCAAACCCAGACATGTCACGTGGACCCAAAAAATGATGAACAGAGAAGAACCCCAGTGCATGAGACTGTTACCAGAGAGGCTGAGCAGAGGACGGAGGATGTGGCCCCAGAAGATGGTGAACATCAGAGGCAAACCCCGATTTATGGCAATGGCCAAAGAGGCACTGAGAGAAGAGGAACCCAGACAGGGGAGCCTGACCCAAGAGCTTGTGACCATCAGAGGAGAACTCTGGTATCTGATAGAAGAGATGGTGGCCAAAGACAAATACAAAAACCTGAGGACCCAAAAGATGGTCAACAGCAGGAGGAAACTCTGAAGAGTGATGCTCATGCGAGAGGCATTGACCAGGGGCGAACTCAGACAGAGGACATTGACCCCAAATGCGGTGAAGAACAGAGGCTCATCCTGCCCCATGACTCTGCTACTATAAATGCTGACCAGAGGCAAAACCAGTCACAGGATGTTGGCTCAAGGGACAGCGCCCAACAGAGGCAAATCCCATCCCATGGCACTGACCAAAAAGCTGCAGAGAAGCGACAAACACAGGCCTTTCGGGCTGAGCCAAGAACAAGTGGGGAGCAAAGGCAAACCCCACCACCACGTGGCCCTGATCTCCGGGAAGGTGACCAGAGCCAAACACAGGTGCGCGAGGTTGACCCAAAGGGGGATGACGCTCAGAGGCTCTGCAAACCACATGACGCTGAACAAAAAGGTACCAAGCAAGTGCAGGGGATCCCGTCTGATGTAACAGAGGGTGAGCCGGGGAGAAGCCGGTGGACAGCCTGTGACTCCGGAACTAAAAGCAATGTGTGGATGGGCCCAGGTGAGCCAGGATCTGAAGCTGCTCGAGCTTGTCCTGACCCGACACTGAGCTCCATGCCACAAGAAGGAGAGAGGAGCAGGGTCTGCCCACATGGAGCTGTGCCCATGACCAGTCAGCCCAGCAGGTACCAGCTGCATGCACCAGGGGCCACCAAGGGCGCACTGGGAGGGCAGAGGCCCCCGGAGCCTGCAGAAGCTCCACAAAGAGAGGGTGGACAGGAGAGCAGCCAGCTGCAGAAAACAAAGCTGGAGCAGGCAGCGAGAAGAAGCCACTGTCTGCGTGGCCCTGAACTGAGAAGGCCTGAAAGAGGCCGGCCGCAGCCACAGTCCACTGAGCCCCAGGAAGGGGAGCCAAGGATGCAGAAGGCACAAGAGCCTGGCTCCTCTGGAAGTACCCCCACCGCCACCACCCAGCCTCACGAGGCACAGAGCACCCGGAGCCAGCGAGGCAGGCCACAGGTGCGTGAAGCCCGGCCAGAACCCAGAGCAGAGGGCAAGCCTGGAGCTTCTCAGCTCCCAGAGAGGGGAGGAATTCAAGATGCACCTGGTGGACCTGAGCAACTGCAGCCTGTAGTCCAGCGGACCTCCCATGATGGAGGTGGAGGCCAGCCAGCACCCACACCACCTCAGTCAGAAGGGGATGATGAAAGCAGCCAACAGGCCCGAGATCCTCAGCCACCTCTGGAGGAGGAGAGCCAGCCTGGTGCAGCTGAAGGACAGAGCCACCCCAAGTCACTAGAATCTGACGCCTCCCAAGGGAAGCCGGGGGACCTGTGTGAAGCCAAGACGCCTGTGGTGTGCAACCCACTCTATGAATATCTGGTGGCCCAGAAGAAGCAAGAGCAGCTGTAGGGAGCAACGTCTTCTGGGGAGCCGACGCAAGCAAAGGCCTCATCCTGCCTCCCCAGCTGGTCAGCTTGTCTGTGATCTGGGAGCACTTGCTTCTCCTCTGTCTCTCCCAATCGGCGCTGAAGCAGCCCTTCCACTCCAAGCTGATGCAGATCCACCCGCTGCCACTCCATCTGTGGGCGACCGGAGCACAGAAATGTCTTTCCACTCCATGCGGCTTTGGGGCTTTCTGCTAATTGGCCCTTCTGACCAACCCTAAATCAGACCTTTGGCTTCGAGGTGCTTCAAACTCAAGGGGGGTGAGGTTGAGATTATCAAGGTCCTCTACTGTCAGACTTTAGGTGGACATCTAAACCAGGGTTGAGAAGAAGGGGCATCTTTGGCTGACTTGCATTAGGTCAGCAAGGATTTCTGACCTGTGTTTAGCAAGGCAGCCACAGAAGGATTCCCTTGTCCCCAGATCATATCACTTAAACGAAGAAACCTTTTGATAACCGGAAGCAAATCTGGAGGATGGAATAGCTGTAAACACCACTCCGTTGCAACACTCAAAATAAATTCCTGCACGGGGCATTCCTCAGTCCAGCTTGTCCATGTCACTTGTACCAGACTCCGGATTGGGGTTCTAGTAAAAAACATAGGAAACCCCAGAAGCCTAAAGTCTGCCCATCTGCAGAACTAGATGACAGACATTCCCTTATATCGCCCATGATTCTTTCGGCAAATCGGTTATTTTAATCAGCTCTTTGCTTAAGGTATATGCGGGAGTCGTGTATTTACACAAAGAGTTCCTAGCTCAGTAGTGTAGCCATTCAAATGCTCTCTGTGGGAATCTAGAGGGCCATTCTTGGGGTGATTTTATTTTTCCTTTGCAGACAAAAAGGAGGATGTCCAAGGGACATGTACCATATTTATCTTCTTCAGGAATTGCCTGGGCCTGGACTCACCAGTTTCTTCCCTTAACTTGATGCTTCAGTGCTATTAAAACTCCACTAAGATAAATTCATCCAGTCCAGGGTTCAGGGTTCACAGGCATGCATCTTTGAAAGAAATAAAACCAAGAGAGCAAGTTTTTTTTCCTGAAGACCTATCCTATCTATCCTTCAAAATGTAATCCAATAATTAATCCAGTTAATCAACTGAAATGTGTAATCAGTTAATCAACTAGAATCTCTGCTGTACATCAGTGAACAATTCTTGAATTCGGTGACACGCACCAAGCCTTTGGGAGGTGCCAGCTCTAGCTTTTGGAGGGCCCTTGGCCAACGGACCCTCCCGGGGCCCCGTCACTTGGTGAGCCTGTCCTCTCACTGCCCGTATTGCCAGATGCTTGTTTCCTCTCTGCCTCTTTTCCAGCTCTGCTGCCAGTCGCTTGCTTGATCAGCAACAACGAGGAACAGTGAGCTGCTGCATCTGCTGCTCCACCTTCTGACCCCCTCCGTTGCCTGGACGAGAGCGAGAGGGAAGTGATCCAGCCAGCTGCAACCATGAAGCGGTGGAGCAGCCCAACGGGTCCCTTGCCCGCTGCCCAACCATGCCGGCTCTTCGCACTGGCCCTTCCCTTTGGTTGCATCGTCTCTCCCTCTGCAACTGGTTGGAGGACTGTCCCCTTCACTCCATATCCTAAGGCGCGGAAATGAGGTGCTGACACACTCAGATCCTGTTTCCATGCTGGCAGCTCAAGATGCTTGGACAGGCCTCGAAGCTTTGAGGGGCAGAGTGATTGCAACCGAATCAAGTTCACTTATGCCTTCCTGTTTTCATGCTTCTGTATTACAGGATGCTATTCAATAAATTGCTTTTGATTGAAAGCACAGGGCGCTGTACTTTGACCGTCAGGATTCCTTTTCTACATGGGGAAAAACACTGAGAATATTAAAAGCAAGACGTCTTTTTTGTCGCTTTATGGCCTTTCCCTGCATCTGCAACTAGTCAGGAGGAGTAGATTCTCATCAGGCCAGTAAAAAGCTGCCCAGGTGGACCTTGAGGAATCTGTTCACTTCACTAATCCGTTTTTTTCCTCTGAGCTTCAAATAGGGGCCAACAACTTAGCGCCAGCAACTCTCAGGTTCTCATTTTCAATCTTCAGTATGGCTGATCCCAAACACTGAGAATTTTCTCTCTTTAAGTCTGTGTTCAAATTCATAAATGCTTTCATGCACATTTTGCAAGCAATTTTCTGAACGTGGTGCAATTTGAACAACATTTCCCCTTGTCTTTTCATTTTTCTTGGATGGGACAACTTCACTGCCAAATTCAGAGAATGGCAACTGTCAAAGATAATGGTTTTTGTTTTGCATGGCAGTTTGGCAGTGCAAACTCAGGCACCGAACGTGTCAGCACAAATTTCCCTAGCACCCGCATCCACACTGTTCACAACTGCTTTGCAATACCTCGGTGAACCACTAGATGGAGGCACAAAGCCCACAATTAGACAAAAGAGTTGGCAGCAGTTCCAGAGCCCAGAGGAAAAGATTAAATGCTTGAGTCACCGGAAGCTTATACCGTTGTATTTTTCCCCCTCTTTCTTTCTGTCTTTCAAGCCAGAACTTGCCTTCAGTGGAGCAAAGAACAAACTTACACAGGAATAATTTGAAAGTTCTTCTCCCTTTCCAGACATTTCTAGGGGAAGTTTAGTCACTGGTGCAGCTGTGTGTCTGCTCTCGTTGATGTGAAACCCACTTGTGAGTGTCGACTGCAGGATTTGGTAACTGCCCCTCTTCCTACCTCCCTTTTGCTCCTTATCTCCTCCCCAAATTTGGAAACTATCCAACCATCCCAGAATGCAGGATGTTTTCCCACTTCAGGACGCCTGACTCCACAAAACTCTGCAATTGGATAGCTTAGAAGCTTTTATTTGTTTAACTTTTAAGCAAACCACATGCCTTCTGCCCGCAACCCCCAAAAGAAAGAGAAGCAAGTGGCTGGACTTCACCAAGCAATGCCGAAGAAAGAGGATCTGCAGAAGATTTTTGCTCGGCTTCCTCTTTGAGAAAAAGCAAAACATCTGGTTTCTTAATGTCACCGGCAGGAGGAAGAAAACTGTAGGGTTGGCAGAGGCTGATAAAAGGGTGGGTGCATTGGCTGAAGAGGCCTGGGGAGGATTTTGGCCTAGTTTTCAAGCTCAGGGTCATTCAGACCAGAGGGCAATAGCTTCAGTCCGAGAAAAACACCTCTTTGCACAATGCCCAGCTTGGTTCTGGAACTCCCCACCACAAGATCCGGCCCTGTCTGCCCACACAGATGGTTTTGAAAGTCTGTCCACAGGGTGCAGGCAGAGGGACACCCGCTGTTGGATTGGGGGGACCTTCGGCCAAATCTGGGGGCACAGTATTCTTCAGAGTCCCAGAGCGGAGGTCAGAAGACAGCTCCAGCTCTTTTGCCGGGGATCCAAACTCCAGTTCCCCCTTCCACCTTGCAGCCTGCATGGAAAGATAGGCCAGGTGCTACCCAAGGTGGGCAATCTTGGAGAAAGTGGGAAAAGGACCAGGAGGGGTGGGGATGGGAGCAGCACTACCAGGATATGCCACGGGGATCCAGCAAAGGGTTAGTGGCTGGAATGCCGGACTGGGACTTGAGAGATCCTTGTTCCCATCCCTGTGTAGCCATGACAATCAGTCCAGCCTACCTTACAGGGTTGTTGTTGTGAGGAGGAAATGGAGAGGAGGAGGAGGGTGTGGATTGGCTTGGGTTCTTTGCAAACAGAAATGCATAAAGCTTACAGGCTTGCAAGTCATTGCTATCACATCGGCCTGAGTGTTGGATGAATTTGAACCCCTCACACAGCTCACAGGATTGAACATTTTTAGCATCGAGCTGGTGAGTCATCTGCATTGGTGAACAAGCAGTGATTACACAGCTCTGAGCACACACAAAGTACAGTGTGTTTTCCATCCCTGGAGACAGGGCCAGCCTCAAGCACTATTTCTCCCACACCCTCCCTGTGATTTATCTCCAGCTCTGGAAGCCACCCAAGCATCTGAAGTCTGGTTTCCCAATACTCAAATAGCAGCACCTGACTGGGAGTTTTCTTTCAGACGCTCACTGAAGCTTCTAGACCACATGGAGGAAAATTAGAAAGGGGTTGCACCAAGTGACCTGAGAATGGGATGCAGAGCGATCGAAGGCTGAACAATGCCATGCTGTGCAGAAAGAGGAGATCACGCCTGTACCGAAAAAAGGCCCTGGGTTCAATTCTCTGCAGAAGGTCACAAGCAATTTCTTCCTGCATTTTGCACTGCAGTCAGGAACCAATCCAAAGAGCGTAGGTGGTTGTCAGTGGGGTGGGAGGTTGCCCCGAACTAGCATTACGGGTACCAAGTATGGTAAACATGTAAAAAGAGCCACTACTCCTGTCTCCAGGGAACGGTGCCAATGTTAGTATCTGTTACTTGGAAACAACTGCAGGTATGGGATCACTTCTTGTTTTTTCTCCAGGGTTACCGAAGAAAAGCTGGTGGAATTTAAGAAGGCGTAACTTTGTTAAGTTATCCTGGCATGGGGGGCGGGGGCTGTTAAACTCCCTCGACTTGACCTGCACCCCTCCAAAAAGTAAATGTTGCATCCATTTTCTAACGGCACCTGTAAATTGTCCGTCCTGTTTGTGGTCACAGAAACGGCGTAAGAGAAGAGTGACCTTTGGTTGCATTTCTTGGTGGAGAGAAGAAATTCTCCAAAGGTTTCTTGAGCCAGGCTCTGCACCACTGTGATTCTGAGCCTCTTGCAGCCTGACAGGTAAATCCCACTTTGAGAAGCTCTGGGAACTGAGTTTTGGGGTGGGTGTGGCTAAAGGCAAAGGGGCGGGCCCCAGAATGCCGGCATATTCCCATGGCAGGTCCTTTCCCCTTAACTCAGCCTTGGGAAAGGCATCCCAGCCTTTGGGAAGGGCACCAAAGTGGCACAAATGCCAAGAAACCCCCACATCAGTTCAGCCCCTCTAGCAATAAATATCCGCCCCTTTAGGCAAGGAAGAAGAGGGAGAAAGAGACCGAGGCAAGGAGAAAAGAGACAGCCCTGGCATCTCCGGGGAGATGTGGCCCTTGACCAGAAGAGGTTGGCCATCCCTGATTTAGAAGCCTCATGGGCAGAGGCTCTGAGGCAGGGGTCTCAAACTCAACTTACCTGGGGGCCGCTGGAAGTAGAGTCTGGGTGAGGCTGGGCCGCATCAAGCATTCCACCACTGCGGTGGTGGTGGGCCGCTCATCCCGGCAATTGAAGGCCGCAGGGCCCCCTCCCCCATGCCCGCCCGTCCCAGCAATTGGCCCGCAGGCCGCGAGTTCGAGACCCCTGCTCTGGGGGATCTGGACAGCCAGCTCCAGGTGAGAAAGGTCCCACTTTGGTCCATGAAATGCCCTGGAAAGTTTGTTAGATGGATCCTGGAGGCCGCCCAGCACGAGGCCTGTTGGATATTCACCCCCAAAAGATGTGTTGACATGCACATGGTGGGCATGTCGTGAGCGGAGCCGGCTGGAGCCAGGGGTCAGACTAGATGGCTGGGAGGCCCCTTCTGACTCGCTCTGTTTCTCTGTTTCTATGTGGGTGTGCTGAACAGGCACAAAACTTCAAAAATGGAGGACTTGGAGAGGAGGGAATGCCCTCTTCGGCTGGAACCCTTCCACTGGGGAGGAAGAAGGGGGACTTTGCTGCAGAACCCCCCACGCCAACAAACAAATGCATGTGGCAACACGCTGCTCTGCGGAGAGATGAAGCAACTCTCCCTGACAGACACAACCGGTGACCCAGTTACTCAGCGTGAGTGTCCTTGTTTGCCGCGAAAGAAGGAAGTGGCGGTTTGGTTTGGGTTGGTTTTCTGCAGCCCGGTAATTCATGACGGACTGCAGGTTGGCTTCCTGGTCCTGGGTGGGAGAAGACGACTGACTCCTGTTCGATTTGTACAGGAGAACGGCTTGGGGTTCGGAGCACGAGAAGAAAGCTGCCCGGCAGTGTGTTCTGTGGCAGATGGGTTCTGTGGAGCCCACAGCCACTCCTAACATGGTCTGTGGGGTCATGCAGCTGTGCCCATAAAAGCAGGGCTTGCCATATGAGTACCAGTGAGGGAAAGCCTAGGAAAGACTCTAGAATGGAGGTGGGTGGCATCCAGGAGATGGTGGAGCAGCCACCCCCGCACAGCCAAAATTTGGCAGCAGGCTGCTGGTTTCTCTCCTGGCAGGCCGTGACACAGAGCCAGAGACACACTGTGGCTGCAGTGTTGGACTGGGACTCAAGCCCCCACTTGGGGGCTCCACTGGGTGACTTTGCACTTGCCACAGAGGTTCAGCCTGGCCTACCTCACAGGGTTGTTGTGAGAGGAGAGGAGCCATTATATGCTGCTCTATGTTCCTCACAAGATTAAAAGGGACAGAGATAAATGTCCTCATCATTTTAAGAAACTAAAGAAACCATGGGGGGGGGAGGGCAGGGGGGTCACCCACCTGGCAGACAGCAAACCCCATGATCCTCAGCGCCTGGTTTCTTTGTGCTTACTGCCTTATGTTTAGTCTGTACCCATGTGGATGCAAGGTGTGGCTACTGGCCGCAGACACCCGAGTTCTTTCGATCTCGGTCCTCGCGGGGAGCCCGGAGCCCACAGAGGTGTGGCGGGAACACGGGTGTCCGTTCCAGGAGCAGAGGCACCGGCAGGGAGACGGGGTGGGATGCGGGTCATGCGAAGGGCAGCCAGAAGACACGTGTGGCCGGAGAAGACTGCTCCCAGTGACGAGCTGACCTGGCACGAATGAACGCACAGCTGTGTCGGTGTCGCGGCAGGCCAGGAAAGATGTGAATGTCTCTGCCTGGTGGATGTCTGCCTGTGACTCCATGTCAAAAGCCAGGAGCCCTGCCTATGGAAAGAAGGCTGCAATTATCAGCCACGCACGCTCTGCTTAAAGAGGAGGCCAAGAGCACCTTAGCCTTTCCTGCCTCTGCGACAGCGGAAAGCTTCCCCTTTAGATTTCTGCCTGCCTCCTGCAGGACTCTGCAGGTTTCCAGCTCCGCGGAAAGAACAGAATAGGGGGGAAGTGAGAAGAGGACAGTGGGAGGAAGCCTTCTTGGGTAAATAAGTCAGGTGCAGCTTCTGCCTTCTGCAAGCGGGCTTGCCCCGCGGCGACAAGGCAATTGCTCAATGGAGGCAGCGCCTGTGCGCGGGGTGGGCGGGAGGGAGGGCGTCGGCTGAGCGGCGGGGGGGCGGGGGAGGAAGGGGGAGGGCGGGGAGAGACGAGGACCTCCCCTCGCCCGCCGAGCCTAGTTCAGAGCGACCCACCCCAGCCAGGTCTCCGCGTCGCCCTCCTCTCGCCGCAGCCATGGTAAGTTCGGGCGCCTGTTGCTTTGGCGCTCCGCGGGACGCCGGGGACGATGCGCCGCCGCGTGCAGGAAGGGGAAAGTGGCTTGCCCCCCCCGCTCCCCCCACACACACCCTCCGAGGGCTGCTCGGGGCGAAGAGCCCCCGAGGCGTCTGCTTTCCTGCGGTGGAAACGCGGGCGGGGCAGTGGGAAAGTTCTGGCCGCCGCGCCAAGCTGGCGGTGCGCTCCGCTCCTCCGCCTGGGCTGGGAGGGGCCGGGAGGCGGAGCGGGGCGCAGAGGGGCGATCCCCGAAGGTGCCCCCCGGGCCCGATTCGGGGGCTCCTTCCTACGTTGCCGCACGTAGGCCGAGCCGCTGAGGCCGCGGCCGGCCAGCTGTGAAGGAGAGGCGCACGGAAGGGCGCAGCGCGGCCGTCCCCCCGGGTGGACTGGACCGTGTCTGGGCTGGTGGGGCTGATGGGAGCTGGAGGCCAAGCAAGCGCCGAGCGGGCCAGATCGGGTGGGGGGGGGGGAAGGCAGGAGTCCTGGGCCCCCGGCCGCCTCTCTTGCGCGGCCGCGGTGCGCCTGCCCCGCCCGCTAGAAACGTGGCAGGCGAGCCGGCGTGGGGAAAGCGCTCCAGGCGAAGGGGCTGGTGAGGCCGCCCATGGCCTGATCACAAGTCAGCCAAGCTCGAGATTAAGGAAGTGGGCGAATTTAGGACTCCGGGGCTCTGGCTGCGCGCCTCGCCTCGCCTCGGCGGCCCCGCATTCCGAGGAGGCTTGTGAAAGGCGTGGCAGCGCACGCGTGGGCGCCAGGTGTTCGCTTGCGCACCTCCCTCCCGCAGACAGGCGCGGCCCCGAGCGCCTTGAGGGCTCTTGTTCAACGCGCGAATGTTTGGCCCCTTGCCGTGTCCCCAGCGGCATATCCCTGGTTCAGGTCCTGAAGAACTGTTGCCTTCGGGGCGCTTGGCTTCCCAGGCCGCCGGGGGCCCCATCCTCCTCCGCCAGGATATGGGGCGTGCAAGCCCAGAAGGGGGCGGGCGGGCGGGCTCTCATCCTACGTCAGCCAGCGGGCAGCCGAATAAGGCCGAATGATTCCTGTTGCGCGCATTTCTCCAGGGGGAGGCTCCTTCCTGGAAAAATGCACTCTCGACTCCCCCACAGCGTTGCTGGCTCTTCCATGGACAGGAAGCCGCCCTCTGCCTTTTCTTTCTTCTCTCAAGCCGGAAGAAACCCACCCCAGCATGCTTTCATCCCTAGCCAGGAGGAAGCAGCCCGTTCTGAATTTCTGCTTTTGCTGCCCGGTGCTGCGAATGGGGGTGCGGGGGAATGATAATCCAGTTTTCCGGGCCAGCCTTCTCCAAGCCCTGGTTTTCCAGGGAATTTCCATGACCCCCTGCCAGCATGTTCGGGGGGGGGGAGTGGGAGTTGTAGTGCAGCTCACTAAATGCCCCCAAGTAAGGCATGCTTGGACCAGGACAAAAGGCAAAACAGTAATTTATTTGCTAACAAACAAATAGAAATGAACCACCGGGCATTCTGTGCATGCACAAGGGACCGATAGATCGCCCTTGCAGCAGAATACACTGGCCTCTGTAGCTTGGCTTGGTCAGGGATGTTCAGAGACAACCGGAGCTGAACCGTAAATGCATGCAGAGACCAAACCCGCTTCTCCATCTGGCTTTTCTGGGGATTCGGTTATCTTGGCCTCGGCATGCAGGAAAGCGTACCTCTCTTCCCATCCAAACCAGCAGAGGCTGATGACTCCGAGGTCAGTGGGGGGCTGCATCCTCTCTGGGCTTCAGGCTAAACTCCAAGGGGGCTATCCACTGTGCCACAGTTCAGGCTGCAGCCCAGGGTGGATACACCACCCACTTTGGAGGGAGAGGTGTCACCGTACACCTTGCTTCTCTCTTTCTACACAAGGCTTTCTGAGCAGTCAGGAGGCCTGGAACCACGCGGGAGCCAAATGGCTTTCTCACCCTGGGGCACAGGAGCCAGCCCAAACCAGCAGCCCATGAGTCTGCCATTCCGCAAGATGTTCTTGCACAGCAACAGAACAGTCTGGATTGCAGAAGAGGAGTGGGGCGTCCTTTGCCACCGCTTCCCCCCATCTGTTCACCTGAGTGGGCCCAGAGACTGGAGCAATGGAGGCAGAACGGCTCAACGGCCCAGGAGAACCTCTCCTCCCTTCAGCAGAGGCGACACACCCAAAGCTCTCTCCCCACCTCCATGCGCTGAGCTCATCTCCTCCTCGCTCTGAGCAAACAGCCTGTTTCACACGGTCCCACTTGGCAGGCAAAAGCAACAGTGGGCATTGCTCCCAAAAGTGATTCATTCCCCGGAACCCTCTCAGCCCCCCTTTTTCCTGCAAGGATGGGATTGGCCACTAGAAGGCACCATGGCCAAATGACCTTCCATCTCTAAAAACAGGCGGAGAAATCAAAATCAACTGGACTTCAGCCACATATGAACAGCTTAATTCCTTTAGTCCCCATTGACTTGGGTGGGTCACAATGAGCTGAAGTCCAATGATCTTAAGGGCTCTTGACGAACTTAAACTCTGCTGATTTCGCGGGGTCTGTTGAATTTCAGTGCTGGCAGCCTGCCAGGAGTTGGACGCCAGACACGCATATCGCTGCATCTTAAAGATCACTGCTCCAGGGATCTCTTTGGGATCAGAGAGTGAGGGATGAAATTGCTCTATCCCAAGTGCCGCTTTAAAAAGAAAACGAATTAGTGCCTCTTCTCTTTTCCAGTCGTCAAAGTACCCCATCGGCCCCACGGAAACCGAGCGCTGCATTGAGTCTCTGCTGGCTGTTTTCCAGCGCTACGCCGGCCGTGACGGGAATGCCACTGCCCTGTCCAAGAGGGAATTCCTGACGTTTATGAATACCGAGCTGGCATCTTTCACAAAGGTAGGACAGGCGCCATCCAAGCACCAGGAAGGCTCCAGGAACTCGCCCAGGCTGAGCCTTGGAAACCTTCCGGTTGCAGATCAGTGCTAAGTAGCTCCCCATCCTGCACCTGCCCACCGCTCCCTGCTCCAGTGAGGTGCAGAACTGCACTTAGAAACAGAGAAGCAGAGCGAATCAGAAGGGGTCTGCCGGGCTATCTAGTCTGACCCCCGGCTCCAGCCAGCTCCTCTCGTGACACGCCCACTTGCAGTCTTCAGCTACAAGGGGCATGGAAGGAAAGCCCTTCGGATGTTGTTGGACCCGGGTTCCCACACGGGGCCCCCTGCATGGTGGCCAACTGCCTAGAGGGCTTCATCAGTTGCAGGGTTGATGAGTGGAGCTCCGAGGCTTGGACTACTAGAAATCCAATCACTCTGGAGAGCCACGGGGCCTGGCCACACCCCCTGGGACTGGGATCCCCGATCTGGCCTCTGAGGTTCCTCAGGAACCGTTCCCCGCCCACTGGCCCCACTCCCGGCCCCTTCCCCCAGACCCCTGGGGGCCAGGAACTTTCTCTGTCTCTGAACCTTCCCTCGCAGTTCCAACAGCTTGAAAACTCTTGCTGGGGAAAATCCATTTCCAGCCAGCTCTTGTGAGAACTGCAAGGAGCACGGAAACCTGAGAGGGTGGCCAGTGATCCCTTGTTCTTGCTACTCAGACAGTCCTGTTGCTTCAGCTTGGTGAGCCCAGGCCCCACTCCACCAGTGCTAACTGTCCTCGGTGCCTTTCAGAACCAGAAGGACCCAGGTGTCCTTGACCGAATGATGAAAAAGCTCGACTTGAACTGTGATGGACAGCTGGATTTTGCCGAGTTCTTGAACCTCATCGGGGGGCTAGCGCAAGCCTGCCATGCACAAGTGCATTCCTCCGGAACCAGTGGTGGCCTTCACAAATAATGACCCTGCCCTTGAAGACTTCCTGAACCAAGACCAACAACATCCCCAACATTCCAAACTCAACCTAAGAGCTGTACCTAGCAGGAAAGAGCAGGTTGCCATTTTCCCAGTCTTGTTCCTTCTCAATAAATTCTGTATGCTGATCCTAAAAGAAGTCCTCTTTCTGCATGAGCGCAATTTCATGTCATGCTGAGTGTCTCACCAGCATCTGACTAACTGGGTTGTGGGAAAGAAACAGGTTCCATTTGCACCCTGTACAAACTGAAGCTCAGCAAGCCATCTGAATTACCATTCCCAGAATAGAGTAGAAATTAAATAGAATTTGCTGCAGAATGATTTTTTAAATGCATACATAAATGTATAGGTGAGGAAAAGCAACTTTGCAAATGCATTATGTTCAGGAAATTGCATGCATTAAGGAGAATTGTACACAAGAATGCTATGGATCTTCACACACGTTCTTTTTAAATGTGTTACATATTTTAAAACAATCCCAGAATTCAGGGGAAACCATCTTTAGAACTGCAGAAATCCTCCAAATCAAGATGAAGCAAATTTAAAATTGGAAAACTAGTTAGAACAAGACGGGAACTGAAATCAACCAATCCCTGCACACTCGTCTGCTTCATTCCAGAGGTGTGGGATTACAACTCCCATCATGACCAACCATGGCGAGAGGAATCAAAGTCCTGAACACCTGAAGGGAGGCTGGAGGGCGGGGTGGGGAGGGGCGCTGCTAAACCCTTTGCATCTGTGAGCTCCGTAAGACATGCCCTGCAAGAGGACAGGCAGGGGCAAACACACATGTTGGTGCAGATCAGACATTCTAACACGGGAGGGAGGCGTGAGCGGACGTATTCGCTCCGGGCCGCTTCCACAGGCGCTCTCCTCCCTGTTGCTGGCACGGCTGCCCAGATCTCGGGTGCGATTGGCCATTAAAAGGAGACATGCCCGATTCTGAGGATCCCGTCCTGTAGTTTTGGTCACCACCTCCGGCCGCAGCTCAGCAACAAACTCGATGGCAGAGTGTGCCCCCCCAGGCAGTCTGCCCACCACTGCAATGTTGGGGGGCCAAAGGGCACTGAAGGGGGATTTTCCTGGACCCCAGGGGGTGACAGGAGTCTGATCAGTCATGAAAGTTGTAACTTGCATGACACCGGGGCTGAAACCATGCTTAGGGTGTGTATTAAAACAGAAGTTTCAATGCCATTTCAGTTGCTGCTAAAGAAGGAATTGAATAGTGTCTGACAACTAAAATGGTTAGATTCTAGAGACCCTTCCCTGATTTTTACACTGATTGCACTACCCAATATTGGCCACAGGAGGGCAGCAGAGCACTACGAACTGACATTTTAAGGG